CACAATAAAATGTGATGCACACAAACATACAGAGATGAAAGATTGAAAGGCAACATTCACAAATAAGACATGAAATATGTCAAGAGTAGAAAATTTAACAAGAAGCATAAACAGCTCTGCTTAAGAATATATACCAACTACACCCCTTTCAACAACCTGCATTAATGTGTACCAAAGACTATTCATCACCTGGAAACAGTTTCTTAAAACACGGAACATTTGTGAGCTACCCATGAAGAAGGCATCAACAGTACCTTCAATTATTGCCTACGTTTCAGACGAACATCTAACAGAAAAGAGGAATATTACTGATCAACAAATATGCTTTTCTGAGCAAATAGTAGGTGCTTTGTTTGGTATGCTGGAAATAAAAGTATTACAGATGTTTCTGCATTCACGAAAATCTGGAAAATAGCTGATTTACTACATGAACAATTAAATGAACCAAAAATTTGGTGCAATGGGTTTAAATTGTGTATGCAATTTCAGTAGCTGAGATATATTTATCAAATATCAGGAAATTATTCTACAGGAATCTGCCCATCTGTCTTCATTCTGCAAAATATTTCTGCTCTAATTAGACTGCTATTATACCCAAGTTCTATTTCTGTTAGTGGGGCAAGAAGAAACCAAGAGGGAACACGCAATCCTTCGGCATGAAACAGTCATGAACAGTTTTCATGTGGTTCTTCATCTTGTCAGGCCTCGAGAATTCTTTAGAACAGACAGGGCATGGAAAGACCTTCCTCTGGTGACCCTCATGATAGAGGAACGCATGACGTTGGAAGCTATACTTATTCTTGAACGTTTTCTGGACATCTGATTTGGCGCATTCAGTGCATTTGTACACTCCCTCCGAGATGGAGGCATAGCGAAAAAGGTTCAAACCCCGAACACTCATTTCCGTTAACTGTTCAGCTGGGTCCTGGCTGGCTGATGTTGCACGGCGACGGGCACGGCGTTTGATGGGAGGACGAGAAGGCGGAGGGGCAGACGCTGATGCAGGAGGCACAGATGATTGTTGTTGCTCCCCACCAATCGGAGAATTTACCCCTTCCCCCCCTCCATTCCCTCCACCACCTCCTTCACTCTCACCCTCCCCATCTTCACGTACCTCCGACTTCGGCAAAATTATGGGATCTGGAAACAATCAATGCAAAAGCATGCAACATCGAATACTGAAACAACTTACATTAGCAAACTATTTATACAGGGACTTGGAAGCACAGACTCAAAAATATTTACACAATTAACTATTCTACAATAATTCCAATAAAATGTTATGTAATCTTAGATAATTCACCTCTACTTACAACATATGTAACCCCCATTTAAATAATATGCTATGTTTCCAAAACCACATTTTGTTTCAAAGTTTCTAGATTTTCTAACACATAGCTACTACAATTGTCACTTCACGTACAGACAAAAACTAAAGATTCCATTCAATGAGTACTGAACTTGCACAACTTTCTGATTGGAATATGGCGCTGATAACTGTGCCTTACACAATCACAGTTTATAAACTACTACAACTACTAGCTCAATGTAATCAAATTGTAAAGAGAGCATGTTGAAGAAAATATTCCATTCCAATGTCCCCATGAATTGGTGCAAAAGGTTGTGCAATGACCTACCCTTCAGCAACATACATTTGTCACTATATACAAGACTAGGTATGCATATAAATATAAGTTAGGCAGCAACATGGATATATTTGGAACAAAACTTAATTAAATAAAGGCACATTACACCATGCATATACACTGGTGTCTGCATACAACACATCTTGTTCTCCCACACACAATTCATTCTTCTTCAATAAATAATATATACTCCAATGTACATGCAAACAATGCACAATTAATGTTTTAAATAAATGTTGACCTAATTCAAATAAAATCAATGCAAACCATTCACACATTCTTCAAAAATGGCAGGATAAAGGGTTTACAGGGTACAACAAAGCATCAAAATCTAAAATTATAAAATAAATTAACTACATAACACATCCAAGGAATAAGGCTTTTATTGAATTAAAATAATAACCTTTTGCTACAATGATAAAAGAATGCATTCACTTACAACACAAATTACCATCACCTCAAAAATGCCTGCAGGGAAGCAACAATATACCATTTGGATGTAAATTTAACATGCAATTCTCCTCAGTTACTACCAAAACACTACCAGAACCAACATTTAATTTATCCAGCATACCAGCCTGCATTTTTAATGGTAATAGTAATTTTCTAATCTGTTTCTTCTCACCAATGCTAACAACAAAAAGCTACATATAATATTCAGCTGACAAAATTTAGAACTTAAATGTGTAATTACCAAAAAGCATGAATATACAGCCAGAAAACTATTCCTGACACAAATTCCAATGATGTAACGGCTTAAGCAATTTAACTTTGCAAAGTGGCAGAATTACTTCCATTGTAGATACAAGATTTAATTCTCAATTTCTATTACTGTTCCAGCTTAAATCCTCATACTCCTTGATAACTGTCATAAACAAAGTTGTGCTATGAATTTCTATACTGATCCCATTACAACCAATTTGTAATACAAAAATTATCAACAATAAAAACATGTTATTACCTTTTCCTTAGGAACACTGGATCAATCTTCTATGCTGAAGTGTTGATATTTGTTTAACGGATAATATCTTGCTCAATAGCATGACACTTGGTAACCGATTATCCAAATAATCTGGAAGTTTCTAATGAAGCCGAAAAGTGTGCGTGCTATGGGGGAGAAATATCAGGATGGGTTAGAAAACGAGGTAAAACATGTAAACTGCTGGAAAGGTTTGTGATTAATGTTTCAGTCTGATGTAATTCTTTTTATGAAAAGACAATACAGAAAAGCAAAGTATATAATCCTTCTTCATTCAGTACCAATCCTTTCATAATGTACATGTACTTTACAATAAAAAGTCAAATTTATTCTGCTAATAACGTAAACTAACGTAAGCAAGTCTAATAACTGACTTCATTCTGAAATCACTACTGATTCCACCAATACACAAAATTCAGTGTTAGGTAGTAATATTGATGCATCTGATTAAACTCTTCATGTCTATTTACAAATACCTGTTATTCAGTAGTGCTTAATTTTAGACATAAAGTAAATCCTATCATTTCTATTGGAAGAGTCTGAACAATAAGCAATTCTTGATCATCTTAGTTGAAGATTAACTCTGGTTCCAAACAAAGCACTAAAGCTGTTACCCTTGCTACTCCATTACAAAAATATTCAGGACTTCTATACAATACACTTCAGATTCAAGTACAAAACAGCACAACATTGCTTCACAACTAACCATTAACATAACAATCTGTACTAATTTTCATTTCCATAACCCGATTAATCTCTCAAACCTCAGAAATGTAAAAATATAGCTTATTTTTAAAATCTCTTAAAATTTTAATTTAAAAAAAGCTTAGAATTTTCTGTACATGCATTATTTTCCCCCTCAATTTAATTTTGTTCTGCTATGAATTTCTGTTCGGCATATACAATGGAAAACTTCATGCAAAAGATAGTGCTATATGGTAAACAGTGAGAAGTTGAATTTAATAATTTCAATTAAAAAAATAACTGAACAAGAGGTCATTTATATTAACTCCAAGATGCTGAGTCCATCAGACATTACAAGCACTCAACTATTCAAAAGACTCCCAACCTAATATGGAACCCAAACATTCATTACCACGATTACAAGAACCTGCCACTGAACCATGTCCTGAGCCACTTGAATCCAGTCCACACACTCCCACTGTAGCTGCTTAAGATCCAATAAAATACTATCCTACCAAGAATGCCTAGATCTTCCAAAGTCTCTTTCCTTCAGGATTCCTAACCAAAACTATGTATGAATTTTCAATCTCTCCCATGCATACTACATGCCTTGTCCACCTCATCCTCTTCTTCTGATAATCCTGATAAGGGTTTGGGTAATTTATATTTCAATAAAAATGTTTATGGCAGTTTCAGAAATCAGACATTAGAGAGGGTACTCAAACAGTCGCTGCATACCATAAATTAACGACATTTATTTATGAATAAAAAACTGCTGACAATTCACAAGTAAACTCAGATGCATGGTGCAAACATTTTATGCAAATTTAAGACCAAGTTACCGCCTTAATTTAAAAATAGAAAAAAAAAACAGTTTTGATGAACAGTAACAATGACAGTATAATATTCTAACATCTTGAAAAGTTATGCTGCAGTAGTAAACTGCATGGGAAAGATAAAGGAAAGAAGATGTAGTTCAAAGACACTGCATATACTTTCTCATATATATGTCTGGGCAGGTAGAGGGAACACCATTATTTTCTTGAAGATACCACGTACACAGTTTTATTCAAATAGATGGTCCCCACTAATTATGGAAATTTAATCAAAATTGTTACAGCAGTTACTACCAAAAGCAAGGAGCAGAAGCATACAATGATGACCTCAAAAAAGATGTTCCACTTTGAAGCTGGAACAGGCTGTGGCCTAATCCACATGTGCAGAAGAATAAAACAGGACACCCTTGAAGACAGCCATAATGGTTCAAATATATTGGGGCTTTATGATTGTAAATTAATTAAGAATTCGACAAACTAGATGGTGTTTCTGTGTTTTCAATTCCCAATTACAATTAACCAGTTTATAAAACCCACTTATCATGCAAACTGTAGCCTGGAAGGTACACTGAGAAGCCCAAATTAGCACATTAGAAAAGGGAACAACCCATGTGGAGGCAGGTTAGAATACCTCCACTGTAGGCTTGTAAGTTGTAGATGATGATGAAAAGGGAACCCGGTGCCTGTGGGTATAACTGTGCCACCCTGTCACTGGGGCACATAAATACAGAGACCTGGTCCACCAGGTTGGTGGTTGGATGCAAGGTTGATGACCTTGCTCTTTATAAAAAATTACTGTTGCAGAATCAAAAAAAGGAAAAACAGGTCAAATCTGGCAGAATTTTCTAAGGCTATGGCTCAGGGCTGTTTCACCAATAACGAGGTGAAAAGGCAACAATTAACAATTAGAACATTTGGCCCTGAATTCTGTCCCTGTGTAGGGTAAAAGAATTACAGATGAATTTCAAGGGAGGTGAGAGGGGATGGGATGCAGAGCTACGTTTTCATATACATGTAACAAAATAAAAAAAGCCAGACCATTATCTCAAAATTATTCACTTTGCGTATTTTTAATTTTATACATCACAGTTTCTGACTTCACCTCTTTCATTTGCAAGCATGTAACATATATTTCAGGAAAAATACATACAAGCAGTAAATAAGAGCTACCAATAAAGATGTGAAACATTATGGAACTTTCTACAAAACTGTCATTATGTTCTCTTGCAAAGAACAAATAAAGACTGACTGGAGTTACAACAATGAACAAGGCCAAATTAACCACAAATTATTCAAATACAATCAAATAACACCTGAAATTCTTGTTTACAGCTTTAATGTCAATACTCGTATTTCACTGTAGTCTCCAACACTGACCATTTATTAAAACACAAAGATTACAATTATGTTAGACTGAAGCACTAGGAATCTTCCAGCTGCTTCCTCTGACAACAATGTCAGCTGAACTTTTAAACCTTTACTGTTTGTGATTAAAAGAAGCTGCAACAACTAATGTTTATCTTAGTTGAAATGTATTTATAATTCTTGTGTACAAAATTTAACTTCAAAACAGTGTTCCCTCTATTTTAACACACAATACAGATAAATACGGCTAAAATAAATTAGTACTTGAAAAATACCGTAAATTAATATTATTCCAACTTAAAAGCTCTCTTTAAGAAAACTGAGTAATTTTCAATAGAGAATGTTCTGGAGGACATACAAACTGTCATAAGACTAGCAACTGAAACATTACACTATAATAATGATAATGAAAAATACCAAGGCGACATCTATAAAATGTGTGTTCATATTGTGACGTGGACGGTGCAACTCTTGGTAAACACACCCCTTTCCGGCCATCCAACTGCAGACACCAGGGAGGGTTCTCTTTTAAGAAATAATGACATTTGTTTCTACTACACAATGCCACAAATTTATAGCTCCAGAAAAGATGACTGCTTATATCAAAGAATAATTCAAATAATACAATTCAAAGAAAAATTCCAGTAATCAGAGTTTATAGAATTTTTACCCCAGCCAGTATGCAGAATAACCTGGTCTATGTGCTGGCAAATATAAGCTTCAAATTTTTCACAAATTATCAACAATTTTCTTTCAGGCATTTTGTGTTGTGACATCATGTAGGCAGGTGCCAACACACAATGTCAAAACCCAGAAGACCACAATATGCATTTCCATCACTGTAAACTCCTCCAATTTATATACCCATACTTTGCTTTTGCAGTCATTCACCTCTGTGAATTCAGTCTCCCATTGGCTACATATGCTACTACATATCTTCTTGACAACTGCTTTAGGTTGCATTTGTTTCATCATATATATCTGGATTCACATTGTTGGGCTAAACCATTATGTTTCTAAGCTTCTACAGGAGGTGGCTTGAAACTGGGTCAAATGCCAATGAAGATATCAACCAAGCTCAGTACTATCAGAAACTATACACCAAGATTTAAAATGGGACCAAAGAATCATTTCATCAGTTTCCCGAGAAGCCATAAAAGTTCTCAAATTTTGGTCAACAACAAATGTCAGTGACACATACCTTCAGACTGCAGATTCCATCTCAAGAATGAAGTTACTGACTCTTCAATGTATTCACAATGGCATTGCTGACTTTCAGTTTCGCGTCATGATGGACATAACCTCACTTCATCTAACTGTGTTAACTGAAAATCTCCACATAATTCATCAGTTTCGAGGTTACCCCCAGAAAGCTGATTTATACTGAACTGAAAATTTCACAAGAATTTTGTGGGTATTACATATCTTTCTATGACAAAGTAAAATCACATCAATATACGAAGAATATTTTGCAGGCTTTCTCTGAACAATTAATTGCAAGGGAAAAGAACTGAGCATATTTTAAAAATGATATTTCACCAATATACAACCACACAGAATATAATGAAAGCTCTACAGAAGTGTCCAAAAAATGTGAAACGGAAGAGCTAAATGCAAAAAATTCCAAAGTTCACCATTTACATTCAGAAGTACATTTTCTAAGGCAAGTCTGTGCTAGCCCACCTTCTGTCCAACTACAAGGATCCCTGCCCCAGCTCCAGGAACCGCCACTTGAGCAACAGGTCTCCATCCCAAGACATTGCTACAACCAACCTCTGCCGGTACCACTGCTGCTATGGAACCTGGGCACAAAAGTGCACGCAGCCCTGCTCCTACCGCCAACAAGAAAAACTGCCACAGCAAACATCAACAGTGGCACATATCCCAGTGACTTGAGGAACACGAATGGCATCTACAGTCTCTCCTCGACCGACTTCGGACATATGGAATCCTCATCAACCCGGCAAAATGAATCATCTGAGCACCCAAAATCACTTTCCTCGGTTACAAAGCCTCCACTGAGGGGTCCCAAACACTGGGAGAACAAATAAACTCTCTACAAACCTGCCAACCTCCCAAAACCGCCAGTGAGCTCGGCCGTTTCCTGGGCATGCTGAACTACTACAGGCAATTTCTGAACCACATGGCAGCACACGAGGCACCACTTCGAGATGTCCTCTCCAGACCCAAAGGCAAGAGCTCCTACGCCACCACTTGGACACTGGAGCTACACAAGGCCTTTGAAAAGTGAAAGGTGAGTTTGTCACGTGCCACTCTACTGGCATACCTTGACACATTCACACCACGTGCACTCATCACAGACACCTCCACATCCACCATGGATGCCGTGCTGCAGCAACACATCAAGAACGCCTGATAGCCCCTCACCTTCTACCCCAAGAAAATCAAACCCGAGGTGAAACCAACAGCTGCACCACCTAGACCTTCAATCACACAGCTGACATAGCACCGGCTGCAGAACCACATGCCACACCACCACTGCCCATCACACCAACTACACACTCTGGATGCAATATATGTTTCCCTGCTCGCTTCAACAGCTGAGCAACCATCTCCGCGGGGGGGGTGATGTGGGGACTGCCCACATTCAAGCAAACGTTACACTGACAATGCAAGTATCATTGTTTAGCAATGGCAAATAAACAGCTGTTGCTAGGCAAAGCTAGTAAACAGCCATTGCTAGGCAAAGCCTACAACAATATGGACAGTGACATGTTTTCTACGCAGTCCGACACAATGTTATATAAGAAGATATAGTGATATTACTCGGGTCCGAGTCCCTTGGGACTTGCGACCATATTTTAATGTCTCAGAATTGAGACTTCCCTTTTCATCGCCTCCTACGACTCGCAGGGTCACGGTGAAGGTATTCAACCCCGCTTCCACATCATTACCCAGTTTCACCTGAAGATTACCTTGAGCCTTTCCAACATCAAAAGGAGAATGGACACATCAACAACTGAATTTCAAGTCCCACTTTCAAGAAATCTTTGAGTAATCTCCAGAATTCTTCATGTAGTTTTTGAAGAATGTTACTGCATTTATAAGCTGCATTATAATTCATGTGTTCTTCCCAGAATAGAAAAATGTGTAAATTTACTTTCTTCTGTTTTGAAACTCTGTACAGCTGTATGTAACTCATGTGTAAGGAGTTGTTTTCCTTTAAAAAAAGAAGATCCAGTTATTCTGATGTTCCAAAATACCAATTAAGAAGGCCACACCAGTTTTCCAATTGTCATCTTTCAATCTGCGGGAATGTCAATATTTCTTCTCTTGGGTCCTGCGCTTTTCTGAGGATTTCTCTAAGCTCAGCTATCAAACACCAGAGTGGTATGGTACGTTAGTATGTTCAGCAAACAAACAATGTAACAGGGACATCAACTTTCTGCAGTTGAAACCTCTGGCTTGTATGAAATTCACAGGTTTCACAAATGTATTCATTATGTTACTCATAATTCAAATGTTTTTCTGGGTTCTTCCTGGTGAAAAATACAATGAGAAAACATATGTCTTGATTGTGGCAAGTTTTGCAAACAGTACTTCACATCTTTTTCAGGGTGTGTTTCACACTTTATTCTGTAATGTAAAAACCACATCATTTTATTCCAATTCAACAGCAACACTTTATTTTGTATTTGTATTAATGTACCATCATCACAAACTTTTAGATCTCATTAGCAAACCTTTGGCTTTTCTTGTTCATGCACCCAAAGATTAACTGGCACAATGTCTTGAAGTAAAGTGTCACCTCAAATATGGAGACAATGTCACTAAATTAGGCACACAGTGGTAGATCTTATACCTACGAAGAAATATTGTGCTTCTCACTGTTAAACATTCTGCACTCACTTTCTGTAAATTTTGTAGCTTTCTTGCACCCACACATACAAGTACAGCCATTCACACATATTAAGAACAGAATATTTACACTATTTCATCCTTTCAAATTGTGTATTTATTAGATATGAAGCTTTCATAGTGACTAAAGAAAACATTTTCTTGGGTTATCAGCTGTATCAGCTGGTTAAAATTTACTGTTACACGGACTATATTTGTTCCCATCATTAGACTGTCCCACCCACACAACAACCAGCCCCCCCCCCTTTGTGACTGGAACTGAAAGTGTGTGCCAATGCGGTACTAGTCGGTGAAGTCACACGTTTGTTTGTCCTGGTCATGTTTCCGGATTGGTTCCTCTCAATACTGCTTTATCATATTAGTCACAAGGACCAACTGAGACTGAAACCTCCATCCTTGTTGAAGTTTCTGGGGGTGGAGCCTGATCTCAATGAACTCCTTCATTAAGCAGTGACATACTAAACAGGCAAATTGAGATCAGTCCCCATCCCCAAAACTTCAACAAGGACAGAAGTTGCAATCTGAGTTGGTCCTGGTACCCAGCGACTAACACGATAAAGCAGTACTCAGATGAGCCTATCTGGAGACAGGACCAGGGCACACAAACTTATGACTCTGCCTACTAGCACTCCTCTGACTTTTAGTCAATTCCAATCAGAGGTCATGTGCTAGCATAGAGAGAGGACGGTCTGAATCTTGTCATGTCAGACCCTGATGATGGGTACAGAGATGGTCCCTGAAAATTTTTAAACAAATGACATGGCTGATAGCCCAAAAAGATTTTATTTATTTTATTCAATGACACTGTCAGTAGTTCACACTACATGGCACCACATGGTAGGATGATATGTGAATACAGAAACAAATCATGGCCTAATTTGAGGTATTATCCTAGCATCTAACAGAAGGCAATATGGAGCACCATGAGAAACAGGACAGTTTAGATGGGTCCCAACCAAGATCTGAACCAGGCACTTCCTGAACCCCAGTCAAAAGTATTACTACTTGGGCCAACTCAATCAGTTTTATCATGTTCAACAGATACTGATACTGAACCACTTACATCACTGAAAAAAGGCATTCAACTGACACCACCAAGCACTACATATCTCTCACTTTGACCCTAAACAGAGGCATCACAATAACAGCATATCCCTTTCCATTCTGTCTCCAACACTGGCAACTGCAGACTTCTGGTAACTGAAAAATTAATTTCAACTGCATGTGGAGTGCAACAATGTCATAAGGCACAGCAACGTACAGTAACATGGGTATCAAAAAGGTTCTGCTTGTTTATTCACACTAGAACACTACTTGCTGCTTCGCTATTCAAAATCTTTAACTTCTCCAATCCAATCGCATTCAACTGTAAGTGATTCCATTCATGCTGAATTACCAACTGAATTCTACAGTTTAGCCTGGCAACATTTTTATTTTAAAGAAATGGATAAGTAAATATCATAGGCCAAGCTTTCATATTAGCTCCAGGAGAAGGAGTGAAAATGGGTGTGCCATAGTTTACTCATCCCTACCTCAGGCTAACAATCATTGTCACACACATCCAGAGAATCAACCATTAAAGTAAACTATCAGCACAAGAGCTGAAATTAAAATTAAATTTTTGTCTGTTACTATCTATTTTGAATGTTGAGTACTTCACATAAATTTAAGTACAAATCAAATACATGCTCAAAACTGACAAAAATACATATGGGTACCATATAATATGAGTTAAATTTCACTTCAAACATTAGAAATTAGACATATAAAATCATCTACTCCTTACAAGACAACCACATCCCATTTTCCTGCTGTAGCAAATGAGGAAGCTTCAGAGATTAAAACAAAAGATATATCACATTTAATAAAGTGTAATGACAGATATTTTAAAGCAATAAAAATCATTTTAAGAACAGTGAAATGAAACACCAAAGCTGAAAAAAAAATATCTAGCTAACACATACACAAAATATGGAACACATACTCTCAATAAAGATTGTCTGTGCTTATTTATACAGAAAGACACTGAAATGAAGTACTGAACATGTAGCTTCTTTCAGATGGACCAAGTTCAGACTCTGTGTACTCCTTTAATATGCGTCATCATGTTATCTCTCCTAGTGAATTCCTTGTTGCACAGTGGACAAGTGAACACTTGCTTGCTTCTTCGGTGAGTCGTAAGATAATGTCTACAAAAATTACTAATGTGTGTATAAGTCTTATTGCACACTTTACACCTAAAAACGTTATCTGCCTCCCGAACACAGAATCTGCGTGCTGAACCATCATGCACATCATCTCGATCAAACATGCCAAAACCAGTAATTGGCATGTTGGTGTCAAACCCTGATTGCGAAAAGTCTTCAGTAGGTATAACAAGGTCACTGCAGTCCTCAGCCAATGACAAAAGTTGCCTGGTGGATTCAGACATAGAGAACACATTGTTCATTTCAGAGGTGAGTACAGCTTGCAAATCACTGTCTGGTAAGACAGAAACATCTGTCGTTTTGTTAACATCATCACTTAAGTCCTGATCTCTCACATCATTGCTAAAATCACCATCATCAGCATCTCCTTCTAAGTTTATTGCATTTAACTCCTCAATGTTCCTAACTTCAGCTGTACTTGAAGATGGTGATAAGGTTATCAGTTCATTTTCATCATCTGGAAGTGACGATTCATAATCCACATCATTTGTCACATCTTCTTCAGGTTTAACTGTAAAACAAAAACAATTTCTATATTTACAAAATGTAAAGAGAAAATATATTTTTAAAATACTTATGTTAGCTATGCAGAAAATAACTGTTCAATCCCAAAACTACCCAAATCTAACAGAAGAAAAAACTAGTGCTATATGTAAGTTTCATGTGATCTATGTACCTAACATTAAGGTATGGCAAATACAAATAAATCAGTTCTGCCAATGTAACACCTCAATATAATATGCATGCTGTCACCTTGTGCAAGGGATTTTAGGGTCTTTTTCAAACAGACATCAATAAGAACTCCACTTACAATATTATAAAAATAAATAAATAACAAATTTAAAAAGAGGAAATAAATGCAAAATATTATCATACACTTCATAGCAAAATGCTACTGTGATTTGGATAAAAAGTATTTAAGCACAAATTCTAGTGTACAACTTCTTGGAGCTGAAGCTGCCAGTTGTGCAGCTACACAAGAACTTCAGAACATTTTATGGAACCTGAAGGTTCCTTACCATATTCATAAGAGCCCTCCACTGGTCCCTATCCCGAGCCAGATCATTTGAATCTATACCACCCCATCCTACCTCTCTAAGATCCATTTTAATATTCTCCACCCTTCTATAGCTTGGTCTGTCTAGTGGTTTCTTTCCTTCTGGCTTTCATACCAATATCGTAATTGGAAGTTATTATAATGGTACATTAGAAAATGATTTCTTAATACTTCTGTTTATGGATCACGTGTGACAAAACTTTCATTGTCCATAGTTCACATGGCTGTGGACATAAATACCACTTATTTCCAGCTGGATAAATACTCTTCCAAGTCAACACTTTTATATGTAACTCAATGAGACTGTTCTGTTTATTTAAGGGACTGAGGTTGAATGGCATGGAACAAACTGAAAAATCTGCTGACCTACTGAATGTCAGCTTGCTAACAGGACACCTGCAGAGTCAGTGAATTAATAATCTCCTTCCTGGCCTTTTAAATGATTACTTTCAAAGAGGTTTCCCCAACAAATTCTAGGCACTTCTTTTTTCATTACATATCCCAAACTGCTCACTCACTTTGCCATTCTAGGTAAAAATATCTTCTTCAGAACTTTAATTTTCATACATTTGTAACTGTTGTTCTCTCCAACTAAGGGGCCTGTTTCACACCCATACATAATAAATGGCATTCTGACAAATTACATAAGTTACCTTGAAGCTATAGAGCAAGGAACGAGGATTGGCGCTTGTTTAGGATTTTACCAAAAAGGAATTTATAGTTCACGTTTACTACAACTTCCCCTGCAGCAATGTTGTTTTAAGCTAAATTTATTAAGGAGTTCATTTCCCTCTTGGAATGCTTAACAGTATATGACATTCTATTTCTTAGAGATCAGTGTTCAGAAATTAAGTCATGGTACAAAACCCCATTCATCTGTGTTCTTCTTGAGCTAAAACACAAGTCTCCTACCATAAGAAGCAAGAAACTGTGGAAGATTTTGTCCAATTCACTTCAAAATAAGGCGTTCTAATTAAATAAAATGGCAAATCATCTATTTTCTATTTGAAGTCTGCAAAAGTCAGTACTCCATTTGGCAACCTGAATAGCTCCTAAGAGTAAACAGGAAACATCTGGAGGTGATTAAGGCAATTTTGTTTGCTTTTTGTATGTCTCAGAAATCGCAAATAAAACAGAATTAAAGAGACAATGTTTTCCACGTGCAGTCAGCAATGATGAAAACCAATCTTCAAATAAAAGTCCTTCTAGTTTTTAGTTTCCTTTCCTTATTTTGAAAAGATGATATCAGGCTTATGTGATCTCCACGTTGTCTGTCTCTCTGAATATGCCCCCCTTATCAACTTTTGAATGGCTGAATCAATCTTTATGAAACTTGGTATGTATATCATGGCAACTAATCTCATCCCAGCAGCATATTTAAAAAATCTGTCCCATCAGTCTGTGTGTCTATATGTGTATCCCCCCTTATCGTTGATAGTTGTTAGTACTTTGCCACATATAAAGAAGCAAAATTTGCTTAAGTACAGATATTTTAACAAATTTCACAACCTGTTAAACCATAAGTACTAACTTAAACATCAACTTACTTGTCAAAAGACCTATAAATGGCAACATTAGCACACAAGTTAGATCTCTGAAAGTATGCATTCCTTTTATTTACACATCACAATATATGTACAATGAATTCTTCCTATTCACTTGGAAAAATGCCTATTCTCTGCTAGTCTCTGCATATGCTTGCCGCATGGGATGAGAGTAAAATGGTTAGAACAGAAGCCAGATAATTACCCTTTATCATCTGGGAATTGAGAATATAAATCTCCTGGTAATATGTTGGGAGCCTATCATAACTATGAGCTAACATTATCTGTACTGAAACGCAATGCTGGACATGGTGAAATGTGGCACAAAAATAAAACTCTGTGGCCTGCAGTCCACAAGCGAACTATACCGACCGCGCGACCGCCGCTTGTCAGCAAAGTTAGTGCCAACTTTTGCAGATAGAGGGTGTCACGTGGTCAGCGCAACAGATCCCCACGACCATTAATCTCGTTTTTCTAGACTGGAGTAGCTATTTCCTTGACACAGCTCCTCAATTATCCTCACAAGGTTGAGTGCACCCCGTTCCAGACCCACTGCTCCTCAGAAAATCTGAAAATCCCACATTAGCAATATATGTGGTTATGCATTTGTACCATTTCACCCCAGTACACCTACCAATTTACTTCCATAAATGATATGTAATTCATTAAATTAAATCAAAAACTGTTTATACAGTTAAAGAAATAAGATAAACACTGCATGGTCATACACAATTTTGGATTCATATCAAATGTATACGATCAGATTTTATAAAATACTTCTTTACAATATAATATGAGCATTATGTACATACTGTAAACCAAAGAAATAAGAAAACAGTAAAAGATGACAATGAACACCACTGGTTTGCCTATGTGTCTATGACCAAATTTATACACATATCTTTCTGCCCTTGTTCAACAGATAGCAAATCTGTGAACGCATTTCATAAAACTTACAAAGAGTATTCATTTTGCCCTAATCCCTTCCCTGATGGGACAGCTCCAAGACTGCTAATTCCTTCATTATATTCTTTTTCAGGGCTCCTTTGAAATAAATATCTGCTTCATATAATACCATATGAAGCAGCACAGAATACTGTAACTAACATACTGATTCTCCTATTGTTAGGCAGCATATTGGTCCATGTGACCTTACCCTTTTGTGATTTACATAGCTATTGTCCAAGAGATGGTATACTGCATTTTGTAAAACAAATCAGGAAAACAGATGTAATTTTATTTGAATAGTAAGGGCTAAGAAAAGGGAATGGAATACATGATAACAATGTCACCTCAATTATAATTACTGTAATTTCTTTCCAAATTTCAGATTGTCATTACTACCTCACAGAACATTTAAAAGTAGCAGCACTACCACAATAATCACCAAAAAAAATCGAAAGAAGGCAAACATCATCTAATAAAGAATAATATTTACTAAACCCTTCCATAACCTAAGCAAGCAGAGTCAAACCTCTGCTTAATGAACACATAATCATCTAAATAGGTTCAAATACAGCAACAGTATAAAACAACTCGCAATACAATAAACCAAGCAATGGCATTCAAAATGCCTGGGACCAAGACAACCTTCTTGAATTATTTTAGGTGGCTACATCATTCAGCAGAAGTTTTCCTCTACAGTAAGATATGTTTAATGAATTCAATCTTGTTCTTGCCAGATTCAAACTTACCTTCATGTCTTCCAACTCTGGTTAGCAAAATAAACCAAATCTTCTTGCAGTAAATTCTTCAGAATCCTGTCCCATCGATGACGTACGGTAAAACCAAAATTCTGTTTGTCTCAAGAAAACTTAAATTTACAAATCGCAGAAAACAAATTGCTCTCTTTTCAACAATATTCTACCGTTAAAAAGTATATTACATGCAATTCAAAACGTCTCTCTGCAAACCATCATTCCATTTAAAATATAAAAAAGTATAAAGGAATTCGGTAAAAAAAAAGCATGTAAATGGTCCGACATTAAACAAGATTTTTCAATGTCACAAATTCGTTAAGCAGAGGTTTCACTGCAATTAAACCTAAGAACATTACAAGACAAAAAATATATATCTGAAACATATGTTGTATTCCAACTCAAGTGTCAGGCTTTGGAAAATTTACAACCCAGCTCTAATCCTCTTACCCTTGCTATATAAATTACAGGTGTAATAAGCTTAACCATCATCTAATGTATATCCATATTTGAGATAGGAATGCTATTATCTTCAAGGTTAACCAATAATAGATGTGTACATGTATACATATATAAAGAACAGCATAATGCAGCAGCTTTTGGCAAATATAAAAGCAGCACAGATAGACCCTTCTTTCCAAACCTATGCAACATCCTCCAAACATTGCTGTTATCTATCACACTACATATATATCTTTTTAGATCTGTACTGTACTCCAATCTCTTTAAATCACCAGGGTATCAGCAGGGAATGCCCTATTCTCCCAAGTACCACTGTAAGTACAAGAAACATACAAGCAACACAGCTCATTGATGAACTGACTATACAATCCAAAATATTTGACTAAAGAAACTTACTTAAAAAATGTATACAACATTTACATTTTCAAAATGTACAGTCACCTCATATTCTGCACCATCAAACACATTCATGTCAATGACATGCCAAAGACAAATCATATTTCATTGTTACAGGTCCTTAAAATGTTTAAACATTACAAATTTGTGCTTCTGTTCACTAAACAAAAAGCATCTTGAACATGATTACACACTTTCAGAGTAAAGCAAAGTTAAAGGGTCCACATGGACATTACTTCCAACTCTATGTTAGTTTAGCTTTGGATTACAAATGCTGGTCATCAACATTCCTTAATATTTGCTATTCTTTGAAACTTGACTACTTAAATTTCTCTCTACAGAAGCAAAGAAATAA